AATTCCCCAGAAAAAAAAAGCTGAAGGAGTTTGTTAATCGTTAGACTAAACCTCTACCAAGATGGGCCCTACAAATGCAAAGAAGTCCTGCAGGTTGAAATGAAAAAACACTCCATTAGTAAGCTAAAGGGCCATACGAAGGAAATAAGATCTTGATAAAGGGTAAGTATGTGAGCAATTCTAAATCTAGATTCGTAGTACAACAGGTTGTGACTCCACTTTTATTTTCACATTATTTAAAAGGATATACATTTTGTCTAAAAACTGAAATATTTAGATTTTAGGTCTAAAAACTAACATTTATTTTAGCTGGTTTGTGCTCTATATTTTGTTTTTTACATAAAGAAACTGATGCATTTTTAAACTTATGGTTTTGTCTTGGGACACCAACCCAATGTATGAAACTGTATTGTGTATGAATAATTGGAACCAGATAGGAGAGATGGTAAAGCAGATGTTATTAGTAACTGGAAGTTAATTGGTATATCAAATTAGAGTGTGTATAACTTAGGGGTGTTAATATAATCCCATGGTAACAGAAAAATATAGGCTATAGGGGGATATACACAAAAGAATAGAAGCAAATTTAAAGTGTCATATTAAAACAACCAAGTAAACACAAATAAGAAGTAATGCAGAGATGAAATGCAAAAGTTATAATTTGGCATATTTAGTAACAAATCAGCAAATGAAGAAGTGAATGGGATTAAACTCTCCAATCAAAAGGTAGGAGATTGTCAGGAATAAAAGTTTAAAAATGATCCACTGTACACTGTCTACAAGGAGATTATTTTATTAAGACCCAAAGGACAAATAATTATAATAAAGAATGGAAAAATAAAATTTCATGGCAAATGGGTAACCCAATAAGAAACAGGGATGGTATACTAATATCAGAAGAAATAGACTTAATAAAAAAAAATTACAACAAGAGAGACAAAGAAGGCTATATACTTCAGGAAAGTTCAGTACATCTAGAAGTAAACAATTATAAATATTTACTCCCTAATGACAATAAAAACCAAACAGAAAAACACAATTTCTACAGTAATAGTGGGAGATTTCAGTAATACGCTCTCCCCCACCCAATGGATACAACAACCAGACAGAAGACAAGTAATAAATAGAGATTTTAACAACACAGTAAACCAACTAGATTAGTCAACCAGACATATATAAGAACCACTCCACCAATAACAGCAGCACTACACTATTCTCTTAACCGTAAATGAAAGTTTCCCAGATAAGACCATATGTTAGGCCACAAACTAAGTCTCAATAGATTGTTACAGGATAGA